TGTTATCAGAAATGACAACACTGCTAAGGTGATAGCTATGACTGCACCACCCAACCCCGCCAACCAGTGATGCTCCGTCTATGAGTATAAGGTCTATGGTCTACAGCTCGTTCCAGTTTACTGATAACAGTTAACGATCGCCGCCGCAACAACGATAATGCTATCATATCCATATGAGTATCATGTGATCGATCGATGGATGTTTATTAGTTGGTGTTTTTTAATTTTTTTTCCTCAATATTTAACAAATTAAAAAACCAAATAAATATTATTTTTTAAAACAACTAGCTTGGCTGGCCGGGCCGTAGGTTGGGTACCACTGGTCTAGTAGGGCATAGGCCATAGATCATAAACGAAATAAACAGTAATTGTGCAGTAGTGCTGTGTGCATTTAGTTTTAGTAGTTAAGTGGTTAAGTCACTGTAGCAGCTGCTTGCTGTCTACTCCCATCGAGTGACAAATCGCAACCCGCTAATTGTCTGTTATCGTTCATTTTGTTCCCTTTTTTGTTTATCGTCTCTCAGTCAATTAACTCGTAATAATATATAACCAAGAGGATAGGTTTGGTTTAAAATTTGTGTTACTCGAGGTATGTAATTGTGGTGACGATGGGCTGTGTTTATAGCAGTAGAAAAACTTTACCACCTTTTTTCTTCAAAGTAAGTACTATCAACATCAGTGCTCCCGATGAGTCGTTTGCGAATTTAAATTATTAACGCGTACCTCTAATGGCTGCAGGTTATAAATATAGACGACAATGGCAGAGAAAAATACCATGGCCAAATGGAAATCGCTACTTCCAACCTGATATTGCATAAAACCGGAGAACCGTCTATAATATGGCCGTTGAGCACGATTCGCCGCTATGGATACGAAGACTTTATGTTCTGCTTTGAAGCCGGCCGCTCGTCTCCATTTGGCCAAGGCATATTTGCGTTCAGAAGTAAAGACGCTAAAAACATTTTCAACGCCGTCAAAGAAAAACTACAGGTAAAATTAACATCCGTTGAATATAACTACTAATAAACATTAAGTAGGTAAATCAAACATATTATTCATTTACATTTCAACGATCAAAATTAAACTAAACGTTTAAATAAAATTGACAGAGCAAAATATAGCATTGAACGCGTGGAGTGACCTATAAATTTACAATAAAATGCTATTTGTATATACCCTGTTTCAAAAGAGAACATAACAGGCGGCCACGGGCAAAACCGGTTTTCTTACTTAAATCTGGTATATTTTCTTTTGAAACAGAGTATAGGTAGAATTTATTGGTTTTAATTTTCTTGTGAGTAACTGTTAACCTGAATACATCTAATACAAAATTGAGTTATGAGGTTAAAATATAATTTAGATGAGGATTCAGACCTGAGATTTAAAAACTTGTCAAATGGCACTGCCATTAACGCATGATATTATCTCAAAAATTGATATTAATCATACATTAATATCTATGTTTTAATTAAGAAAAATGTACGTGTTTTAGATTGAAAGTGAAAAAGATCCAGTCAAAGATATCGCTTCTGAAGTACGTAATTATTCTGGTCAGTCATATACAAGTACTAATACAATTGAAAAAGTCTATGACGAATTCAATTTCAATGGACAAAGGTTTTGTAGCGAGTCAAACAGCAACTTTCAACCTCCTGATCTCATGCTGGACCCAGATACTKCATTTTTACCAAGACCTTCATACGTAAACATGCTGAACGACAATGAAGAAGACGATTTGTTCAATGATCCATTTGAGTTACCCAAAGATACACCCACTTATACTGAAGTGGAAATAGCTGCTTGCACACCTAAAAGGAAGAGTGAGTCGTTACCTACTTCCCCCACAGAAATACCTAGTTATACAGCAATTGATTTCAATCAAACAATGCATTTAAGTCAGAAAATGCTTAGAGGAAGCGAAGATGCTGGCATCAGGAAAACTAGGCATGATTCTACGATGAGCAATCCTTAGTGTTCTTGGAACCAACACAATTTGGAGACCAATTATAAATATATATTCAACCAAATGTGTAGCACCAGCATATTTATGAGGATCTTTATTTGCTCGTTGTCTACATAAATTATTTCTTGTTTTGAGTCATAATTTTGCTTCCCAACTTTTTATTGTTTTGGTACCTCCTTTTTTTT